GCAGAAGGATCGCTTGAGCCCAGGAGTTTGAGGTTGCTGTGAGCTAGGATGACGCCATGGCACTCTAGCCCGGGCAACACAGTGAGACTCGGTCTCAAAAAAAAAAAAAAAAAAGACTAGTCAAGTACAGTAGTGAGAAGGAGGGAGCGAGTAGAACAGAGTTCAATCTGCAATTGACTGTGAAAATCAGCTGAGACAACTCACTACATTCAGACCAGCCTCAAAAGATTTTCTTGAGAACTCCCCATGTGTCAGGCAGTATCCTCAGCCAAGTCCTCCTCCATGATGCTCTGGGCTCACTTGGCTCCCACACCACTGCCCTCTTCTGGTTCACTTGCACTCTGACGGTGCTTCTCTATCCCTCCACAGTCCACCAAGGCACGGCTTCCCAGGTTTCTGTCCCTGGCCCTTTTCTTCTCTGCTTTTAGTGCTATCCACTCTCCTGACTTCAAAGTCCACTTCTACAATGACCTCCAAATCTTTATCTACAGTGATCGAACATGTCCCAAAGAAAATTCACCATCCTCCATCTCGAATCAGCTCATACTCATTTCTTCCGTGTTTGTGTTCGTGGCACTGCCATTCTCTCAATTTTCAAGGACTGAAACCTCAGAGTTCCCTTAGATTTCCAGCTCTATTCCCTTGCCCCTCATTGTACATCCTATAGATTAGGGGTATTGAGCCTTTCTTTCCTCCTATTTTAACAAAGCAGGAACCTCCTTCCTGCCTTCCACACTAATTTAACCATTTAAGCCTACAAACTGAGCTTTCTGGTCACAGCTCTGATCATGGCTCACCTGTGCAAATTCAGGACTCTTCATGCTCAGTCTCCAGACTCCTTTCTAGTCTTTCCTTCCTTTAGTACAAATTTTACATTCAATGGGAAAATAAAAGGAAAGACCTCTAAGATAACTGAGTGATCAGCTCAAGCGAGATAAAGGTGGAAACCCCACATGCTCACATAGAATAAACAGTCTAGGAAAAAAAATTTAGAGATGTACAACTTCTGCAACTACCCCAGCACAGAATGCCTGGTTTTGACTCTGTCCCCTCCTTATGGCCCTGGCTGCTGTACCCACCAACATCTCACATTCTTTTCTCTTCCTGAACCAAACTGCTATTCCACAAATGTGCCAATGCTCTCTGGACACTGTCTTGACTCATTTAAAGTTCATTGCAAATATACCTTCCTTCTTTATTATTTCTGATTTTCCCAATCAGATGTGCCACCTCTTTCCTCTAAATTCCCAGAGCCCTTTTCTCATGCACTTATTTTCTGCCTTGCATTAAAGTTAAGCAGCTATCTATCTTATCACCCGCTATTCATCTGTGAGCTCCCCAACATCCCAGATTAGACCTTCCTCTCAGAAACCATACATAACCAAGCACAATGTCTTACACCAGTCATTGTTTCACAAATGTTCAGCAAATGGAATCTCTCCTAAATGCATCCCCCAGGAGCATAACCCTTTAGGCGTCCGCAGGAATACACAATCTGACCTAAGAAGGCCTCTGACTCTGAGCAGAAAGGGGCCACAAAAGGAACATGTAGCGAAAGTGAATGTGCTTAGGGTGAATAAGCATTCACCAGGGCACGGGGGGGATGGAGAAGGTCCTGACTGATCTGACAATGGAAAGCTTAATTAGAAAAGACTTCCCAGAGACGGAAACTTTACAGGAAGAGTTGCCATGTCCTCATCTTCTTTTCCCTGCAATGGGGTTTCCTAAAGACTGTGCACCCACTTCCTTCATAGTGCTCTCCACTTCCAAGTGGGGTTAAAGTGCATCGGGTGCCACTCTAACACCCCTTTCTCCCTTTCTCCCTCCTCTTATTTGCCCTCCCCTGTTTTCCAGATTCCACGGTGATGAAACAAAATAAAAAAGAATCAGTGAGGATTAGAGGAGAGGATGGCCAGAGATTTGTTAGAATGTTGAGAGGCAAGAGGATGAAATATTTTAGTATCTAGAGGAATCGCACCTCTTACCCTCATCCTGTCTCAGGATGGTCCTGTGTTGCCTCATGCACATCTCAGGACATTTTTAACAGGCAGATGTCTGAACATAACGTAGTCATCTTGAAACTTCATAGAAACAGAAATATAGAGCCAGAGGAGGTCATCTGCTAAGATGTGGAATTCCAAACATTATCAGGATAAACTATAAAGTGTATAAAGTGTGAAAAGACCAAATTGAATACCATCTTAATAAAATACCATTTGTTAACTAATTATGTTCCACTACAGCATGTTAATGAAGTCCCTGTAGTACACTACTGAAATCAACCCACAGGGCAGTGGCATTAGCAGCAGTCTGGGGTCACCTAATTGTGCTAGGTCCTGTCCCAAGGGCTGGGGATATAGTAGTGAACAGCATAAAGTCTTCAAGATACATATTCTGAGGCCAGGCGCGGTAGCTGACGCCTGTAATCCTAGCACTCTGGGAGGCTGAAGCGGGAGGATTGCTTGAGCTCAGGAGTTCGAGACCAGCCTGAGCAAGAGTGAGACCCCATCTCTACTAAAAATAGAAAAAATTAGCCGGGCCCGGTGGCATGTGCCTGTAGTCCCAGCTACCCAGGAGGCTGAGGCAGGAGGATCACTTGAGCCCAGGAGTTTGAGGTTGCTGTGAGCTAGGCTGATGCCACGGCACTCTAGCCAGGGCAAGAGAGTGAGACTATGTCTCAAAAAAAAAAAAAAAATACATATTCTGGTTGGGGGAGACAGACATCATGAAAACAAAAAAATATTATTTTAAATATTGATAATTACTATGAACCAAATAAGGTAAAGTGCTCAAGTGTGTGGAGTAGGGATAGGGTGGAGAAGGGAGCCTTGAGCTAAAATGATTAGAGGGGACATCTGAGTGAAGAAGAAGACATGAGAAAACCTGGGAGAAGAATATTCCAAGGAGAGGGAAGATCAAGTACACAGACCCTAATGTGGGAATATGAGCGGCTTGTTTCAAGGCAAAAGGATGGCTGCTAGGGCCAGAGCAAGGTGGAAAAAGGAAGGAAAGGAGATGGGAAAGGGCAGAAAGATAGGCAGGGGCAGATCATGCAGAATTCATGGGCTATGAAAAGTATAATTAGATCCTAGACAACCACTTCAATTCACCCCTAAGTAGTGACCTGGGTATTGTAAAATCTGGTGCATCTAAGTATAGCTGGACTTAAGTTAAGAACAGCCCCAGTGAGGGATGACTTCCAGTTTTTCAATAGAACCATCCCAACCACAGGTTTCCCCTTCCCTGAAAACCCCCAGAGGATTATTGGCCAGGCTAGAACCTCTACTTCTCCTTGAGCACATTTCAAATACTTCCACTGGGGTGACATTGGTATATTACTAGTATTATTTAATTTTAAAGGAGAAATTGAAGAGGCAGTGATTGGGTATTAGAACCTGTGTTATTAGATCTCATCTTATTGGTTAACTTACTCACTGTCACTATTAAAGTAAAACAAGAGGGCTGGACCAAGTGACCTCTCAGGTTCTAACGTTCAAGACCTAGGAAAGGTTCAGGCTAGGTCATTCTTTGGAGAACATACGATGGTTCAATTTTTCTCACTATCCTTACCTATTGGTACAGAAAGAAACAATAGAAAGGGCTCAGTAAATGTGTATTGAGTGAATAACGTATGGTTTTGCTTGATACCTAAATTCCCACTAGGCAGCTCTCAGGCATAATGGGGAAGACATCCTTCAGATGCCTTTGATGATTCTGCAGGAAGTAGGGCAAAGCTTAAATCTTAGAGAAAGAAGACTTCCTTCTCTAAGAGGTCTTTTTGGACCAATCAAGTCTCACAAACATTAGCCAATCATAGCACCTGCCTTTTGAAAATACCAGAGAGACAGGTGGAAATGAAAACAAGCTCAGCAGGGAGTCAGAGCTAAGAAGGATAAAGTGGCTGTCAGAAAATTAGGTATCAGTTTTTAGGCTGGGGATTCTGAAGCAGGGATTTGGATTTTCTGAGTGAAATTAGCAGAAAAGATGATAAATGAATAAATACTAGGAGATGAATATAGCACCAATAAAATCCAGTCCATCTAACTGGATTCTGGCAGTCCAATGATTTCAACAAACTAATCCTGGGGTCACTCTGCTGGCCATTCAACTGCTCTACTACCTACAGTCTTTGCCCCCCTCAGCTACCTACCAACCCATCCAAATCCCATTTCTTCCCAACTAATTCCCCATTCTTTCTTCCATTCAGCATCAAACCTAGTCTTTTGGGGCTATCTGTGTGCAAATAAAGTATTCCATTTTAGTAAAACGTATGGGAAAGGTATAATCTTAGTGTATATATTTAAAATATGTATGTACACACATACAGAGAACAATCATTAGTGAACTAGCACTTAGTCTTGTGGAGCAGGACAGAAACCACAGGTGTGACCCACCCTGCAGATGGAGATTGGGCCTACCAGCATACAATACAGTACATGCACACTGTTTGCCAAGCACTCACACAGAGCTCATTAGCACATACAACAGGGTGTTCTGCTCCTCTGGGCCTAAGGTTGACTCAAAGTCAATAACCACAGTGGGGAATCTAACATGTGAAGCAGATGTGAGCCTTTTTTTTAAGTTTCAAATATGATCAAATAGCTCTTACCTCTGTTAAAAACTTATTAGAAGGCATTAAACTTACTCCAAGAATCATAAATCTAGTAGTTAATCAGGAATAATGATCTGTCAGAAAAAAATGGAAAGAGCCATTCCTCTAACTAAAGCTACTGCCCCATGTTCCTCTGGGACTAGGAGAGTTCACTGAAATACATCATAAACTCTTGCTCTTCTTGAGTTTATCTTTGGAAAGCTACTCTAATGTTTGTTTTCTCATACACACGAAAAAAGCAACATCGTGGTTTAATGTAACTTCTCTTGCTGATAAAACTAAATTATGCAAAAAGGCTCACATTTACAAAGCTTCTTACAATGTCCAGAGATTAAATCTCAGAAATAGTTCTGCAAATGGGGTAAGGGAATAGGTAAAAAGCTCATGTGCATAGAAGGTATGGAATAAAGGGTAAGGAAGACCCAGAGACTTTTCTGCAGCCACAGAACCTTGTATCATGGCATGTATATTGAATTAGAACACAGTTTACTTCTGTCTTCCTTCAAAATGGGACTGATTTTATTCTACACCTTCAGGAGGCAACGCCACCCTGAGTACAGCCTCACTGAGTGCTAGGGCTGCTCTTCAGAGTAGACTGGGGGGAACCCACAGCACAGCCAGCCATACAGCAAATCTCAATTCCCTCTTCTCTTCTCCAGAGTTGCTCTAGAACCACAACAGGCCTGAGGAGTAGGCACCATTTGTCCTTCATTTGCCTGCAGTGCTTTTTTAAAAAGTGCTAGCATGAACAAGATTCTAGTTTTCAGAAAAGTCTATGTATAAAGGACCATTCCCCAACACACTATGCCCTAGCAATGCCATCATCATAGGCGGCTTTCTTTTACGGCAAAGTAGAGCAAGCATAAGAAACAGATGATGTCATCTGGAGAGTTGCTCTTGCTGCCAATTACTCAGCTGACCTCGTGGATGGAACCAGACCTCAGGATTCAAGAGAGCTTGCCCAGGATTATTTTTCTACTGCCAATTAGACAAGAGTGTTCATAAATGGTTACCTCCTTGCTGAGGGCAAAGGTCAAGTGGTTGCTTGCTAGATGGTAACTAAACTGATAACAACACGCCCCTGAGGTGCCATGAAAGGGCAAAGAGACCACAGGATTATCCAGACAGAAGAAGAAGCAGAAGCAACATATAAAAATGTTTATATGATGGAGCAAGATATTAAAATTGGGTGGTTAATGCCAGATACTGTCCTCCCTTGCAAGCAGTATGGCAGAATGAAAAAAGCAGGATTCTATCCCAGCCTCACCAGCTATTAAGTTATATGATCCTGAGCCGTTTCCCCATGTGTAAAGTAGGGATAATGATACCTACCTGCCTGAAGTACTATAAAGATGAAAAAGACAACTCGTATAAAGTACCTAATCTAATGCCTAACATACAAGGGGCATTCAACAAACGTTAGCCTCCCACTCCACACCCTTTCCTTCTCCCACTCTTTCCCAATTGCTGAAACCCACATTAGCTCTTCTTCCATCTGGTCAAAATAACTTGGAAAATTTGACCTTGATATCCTCAAACACCATTGACCTCCACAGAGCCACCCACATAAGTTCTCATGGTAACAGACCCAAAGGCTGAGTCAGCCTCTACAGCTTCCGTTCTCCCCATCCAAAGGACAATTTTTCTCTGGGGGTTGTACAACTTTGATGAAAAAATCGTCACGGGAACAAGCAGTACAGAGAGAACATTTCACATGCTGTCTCGGGCATCAGAAAGTTGCTGTATCATAGCCTCAACATCGCAGGGGATGCTCCAGAGATTTCACAAAGGCTTTTAAGCCAAACGTGGCTTCTCATTAAAGCTGTACTGGACTTAAGCCTTTCTCTTATAAAACTGAGCATCACCGGTAATCAGGAAACCATGGCCAGGTGTGCGTCCAACTGCTAATGCTCCAACTAGGCCCCAGGGAAAAAGGAAAGCAGGACACCACACATGTCATATGGGGAGCAAAGAAAGGAAGAAGAGCCTTAATAAGGTCAACTAGACAGGTCCACAAAAATTCCTCTTCCTTCCTTCCACTCCAGTTGGGTATTTGTATAACTTTGTGTTGTAAGCTCTTAGGAGTATGTCACAGGCGTACTCCTGTTTCCCCTTTTCTTGTTTAGATGGGAATACCAGGCAGAAATGGGTATCGTTAGACAAAGCAAATACAGGAAATGGGGTAAAAATGGGGTTTTATAGCCAAACCAAGTTTTTAAAACTATTTGTATTTTATTTTCTTTTGAAATTTTGCATGTATTTCCAGGCAGTTTTCAAGAACCAGTGCACTGAACTGAGAACTTCACATTCCCAAGGAACAAGTTATTTGTTAATATTTATATTAGACTTTGCAGTGCTCAAAGCACTGTCTGACATGCTATCGATGAGATGCTAATGATATCCCTGCCAGGTAGGGATATCATTACCCCTACTTTTATTTACCAGATGAGGAAATTGAGGCTAAAGAAAATTATTTTTCCCCAAGGTCTTACAGCTAGTGAGAAGGAGTTACGACTCAAACTCAGGTCTCCTGATGACAGAGCCAGATCTTCCCACACCAGGCTGCCTCTCACCAGTTTCCCTGATCACAAAGAATGGCAGTTCTTACCTTCCAACTCTTCTTTCTCATAGTGAATGTTGAGAATTGTACTGGTCCCACCCTGATCCACCACAGCTTCTTCATCTGGTCTCTGTTTAAACACAAATAAGTAGTGATAGTAATACACATACATTCATTCAAACACTCACCTAAATACCTTGTGTATGCCAGACCCTTTTGAGATACTTGGGGGAAAACACAATGGTTTACATGTAATTTTACATTTGAACCTCACAATACCTTTTAGATGCAAGTATGGCAGCCATTTTCTTTCTCATTCTATAAATGAGCAGCCTCAGACTTGGAGAACACTAAGTAATTATGGCCCAAGGTCACAAGTGCGGTAACATGCAGAGCTTTGACTGAGCCCAGGTCTTCTGACTGCAGATCCCATGCCTTTTCTGCTTACCCACTCCACCTATACCTCTGTGTAACATGTTGGTGTTTTGCAAGTGTTGTCAAACAGGTTGTTTCATTTGGTGTAAATTAGCCTCCTCAACCTCTTCGCAGTATTTGAGCCTGTTTACCATGCTGTCTTGAAATTCTCCATCCTGCTCCTCTTAGCAGGTCTTCTCTGTCTCATCCTAAGGCTCATTTTCTTCCTCTAACCATAATTCCCAAGGAAGAGCTCTCTACCTTTTTGTTTCCCTAGCTTGAGTCTTACACTTTCAACAGCAGCCTGAAAGTGTGTAGCTCAGTATTTGATAAGCCACTGAAATGCCAGACCTCACGATCCATGTGTGTCTAAAACTAAACTAACCTTCCTTCCAAAATTAGCACCCTGCGCTCATTTATTTATTCCTACCATGGCACCATCATTTCTTAGCCTGCATCTGAAATTTCAAACTTACTTATTTACTCATTCCACATGGACAGAGGGCCTACCATATACTTTAAGGGAGCTCCCTTTTCTTATCAAGTTCTCCTTTGCGATTTCTCTAAAAATTAATCTCATCTGTCATCCACTCTACCCCACAATCTCCAGCCCTTCAGTGGTCCCCAACCTTTTTGGCACCAGGGACCGGTTTCACAGAAGACAATTTTTCCATGAGGGGGCAGGGGTCAGGAGCTCAAGCAGTGATGCGAGCGATGAGGAGCAGCTGTAAATGCCAATGAAGTTTCCCTTGCTCCCTTGACCTCCTCCGCACACCTCCTGCTGTGCCCCCTCCTCCCCGCTTCCTCAGTTTCATGGAAGACAATTTTTCCATAGACGGAAGGAGCTGGGGTGGGGCCGGGGAGATCTGTGCCCAGTCCCTAACAGGCCACGGACTGATACTGGTCTGCTGCCCAGGGGGTTGGGGACCGCAGCTTTAAGTCATATTGGGCACTTTTTCGGTTCTGGAACCACACCCACCTTCTTTACTGAGTGCTGCTCTCCCTTCCTGGAAACATTATCTCCCTGACACTCCCATCCTCACTACCGGCAGCTAATACTTATTCATCATCTCTTAGATCTCAGCCTAAATGCACTTCCTTGGAATCTTTCCCTAACTACCCCCTCACTTCCAAACTAAGCTAGGCAACCCCATCCCCCACGCCCCCGCCATTTATATACCTTCGTAGCACACTGCGGTTCGCCTTAGTAATGTCTCTTTCTGCTCCTTGAGGGAGGGACAGTATCTGTCTTCCTCACTACTGTATACCAACACACACTTTTCATATAGCAGGCGCTCAGTAAATCTTTGTTGAAAGAATGAATACATATTTCTCAATAGAAGACATACAAATGGCCAAAAAATATGTGAAAAAATGCTCAACATCACTAACCATCAGGGAAATGCAAATCAAAACCACCATGATGTATCATCTTACCCCAGTTAGTATGGCTATCATCAAAAAGACACACACACACACACACACACACACACACACACACACACACACAAATGCCGACAAGGATACAGAGAAAAGGGAACTCATATGCTGTTGGTGGGAATGTAAGCTAGTATAGCCACCATGAAGAACAGTATGAAAGTTCCTCAAAAAACTACAAATAGAACTACCATATGATCCTGCAATCCCACTACTGGGAATTTATCCAAAGGAAAGGAAATCAGTATGTTAAAGAGACATCTTCACTCCCATGTTTATTGCAGCACTATTCACAATAGCCAAGACATGGAATCAACCTAGATGTCCAACAGATGAATGGATAAAGAAAATGTGGTATATATACACAATGAAATACTATTCAGCCATAAAAAAGAATGATATCCTGTCATTCACGGCAACATGGATGGACCTGGAGGACATTATGTTAAGTGAAATAAGCCAGGAACACCACATGTTCTCACTCATATGTGGAAGCTAAGAAAAGCTGATCTCATAGAACTAAAAAAATAGAACAGAGGATACTAGAGGCTAAGAAGGGAAGAAGAAGGAAGGGAAAGGGAGAGATTTTTTAAAGGATACAAAATTATAGCTAGATAAGAGTAGTAAGTTCTAGTCTATGTAGGATGACTATAGTTAACAATAATATATTAATATTATATAGTTTCAAATAACTAGAAGGAGGATATTGAATGTTCCCAACACAAACTAATGACAAATGTTTGAAATGATGGATATGCCAATTACCCTGATTTGATCAGTATACATTTTATGTATAGAAACATTACTAGGTACCTCATTAATATGTACAATTATTATTTGTAAATTTTAAAAACAAGACCCTGAATTATCTCAAAAAACTCTAAGCTGATTTCCTTGCCAATCTATTTCCCTTCTAAAATCTGTAACTCCAGCCAGGCTGACTGATCCCAAAGGCACTACACACATTTCCACCTTCATGCCTTTGCTCATACTGTCTGGTCATCTGGTCATCTAACATGCCCTTTCCCCAAACCCTCTAGCAAACTAAATCCTCACTTTCCTTCCAGATTCTGCTCAAATTTCCAGCTTACTATTCTAATGTTATTATTTTGTAGTTATTATCTATGCCCCCAAATAAGACAATCTTGAACATAAGGCAATACATTTTCCCAATGAGAAGATTCAAAAAAAGTTTTTGAGGCCAATTTGAATAAACAAACTTTTAGGGAAGTAAATAAAATAGTTGAATGTCTACTTAGAATGTTTAAGTTATGAATTTAGCTTTATAGATGTATTTAAAATTACATATTATTACTATCATGGAAAAATCTCCAAGACATTAAGTTTAAAAAGCAAGGAGGAAAAAAACTGTATCATTTTCTACCTTTTATCTATCTAAGAAGAGGTATTGGAATACAGGTATCTGCTTATATTTAAAAACAAATAAAGGGGCCGGGCGAGGTGGCTCACACCTGTAATCCTAGCACTCTGGGAGGCTGAGGCGGGAGGGTTGCTTGAGCTCAGGAGTTCAAGACCAGACCGAGCAAGAGGAAGACCCCATCTCTATTAAAAATATTTAAAAAATTAGCCAGGTGTCGTGGTGTGTGCCTGTAGTTCCAGCTACTTGGAAGGCTGAGGCAGGAGGATCCCTTGAGCCCAGGAGTTTGAGGTTGCTGTGGCGTAAGCTGACATTGTGGCACTCTAACCCGAGCAACAGAGCAAGACTCCATCTCAAAAAAAATAAATAAATCAAAAATTAATAAATAAAAGAAGAATAAGCCACAAAAAAAATTTTAAAAAGAGTTACCTATAGAAGAGGGAGGGAATAGGATAGAAGAGACAAGGAAAGAAGTTAGACTTCTTTGAATATACCTTATTTTATAAATAATTCACATAATTCTATCAAAAAATTTAAAAAGCAGCTCCCTTAATATTCCATGGCATTTATGAAAAAAAGCAACTTCCAAAAATCAAAGACAAAATGAAAGCAAAGGCCAAATTGATGGGACAACTATTCCAAGAGAAATTATTCCAAGTAACATTAAAACAAACATCCTTAGTGGCATATACTCTTAAGGGAAAAAAAGAATTTTAAAAGATCTTAAACTACTATTTAGTTATCATATTGTTGATTGTAGTGTTGGTATTGGTATTCTGAGGCCATTGTGAATTGTGAGATAAATGAGTAGCTATGTGAATTTATTCTGTCACTCCCAATGTGATTGAGAACTGGGATTCTCACTAGGGGAGAAAGGAGATATAGTTGTAGTAATGAGATAAAAGGTAAGTAAAAACCATGTAGTCCTGAACTTGAATTGGAAGTACCAACAAGACTATATGATGGGCCAGGCGCGGTGGCTCATGCCTGTAATCCTAGCACTCTGGGAGGCAGAGGCAGGTGGATCGTTTGAGCTCAGGAGTTGGAGACCAGCCTGAGCAAGAGCGAGACCCCATCTCTACTAAAAATAGAAAGAAATTAGCTGGACAATTAAAATTTATATATAGGAAAAAAATTAGCCGGGCATGGTGGCACGTGCCTGTAGTCCCAGCTACTCGGGAGGCTGAGACAGGAGGATCGCTTGTTTGAGGTTGCCGTGAGCTAGGCTGACATCATGGCACTCTAGCCCAGGCAGCAGAGTGAGACTTTGTCTCAAAAAAAAAAGACTATATGATGTATTTTTATTTTTAAATGTTTTTAAATTTATAAATTTTATATTTTCTAGCTCTGCTCACCCAAATGGCCTAAAAAAATGATTAATCAGTAGCAATGAGTATCGTTAGCACCTAGATTGTGGTCTCTTAAAATACCATTTTCTAATAAAAAGAATTGGAGCTCCTCAGAGAAATGCCTGGTCACAGGTCTCAGCAGGAAATGTACTAGATGAGTCTAAATGTCATATCAGACAGTGAAGAAGCACTCAAAGACAACTAGAGTTGTGTGAAAAGGACTCAGAAGCCAACTTAAAGTGGTCCCTTGCCAAAACAGGACAATTTGAGCATCAAAAAAGGTAAAACCTGCCACAGACTGAATATAACAAATATATGAAGATCCATGAGCTTACAATGTCACTTTAAAAATTAACTAATTGGTAACTATTGAAGGATAATGCTAATAAACCAACTCATTATTTTGAAAACTGGTTAATAATTTATTTGGAGTTTTCCTATATAAATTATACCATAGAGTGGTACCATAGAGTAGATGAGAAAAGTTTCTCATTATGGAAGAGAATAAATGAAAAAGAAATGTCTTAAAAAAAAAAAGGAATGATAGAACAT